CCMMRARARAGTATTTCACCATTTCTTTCACCAAGAAATGTTTTGTGATGCTGATGTGCCAAAATCCATCCTCTTCTCACATCAAAACTCTCAATGAGAGAGTTGGGTTGGGTCTCTCAATGAAGCTTTAGTGTCACAGCACATTTTATAGGGCCAGGCAACTTGAAAAACTTGTTATTTCTGTGATAAATGTTCCCCTGCACTTCCAGGCTCCAGAAAATTCACATTTTAGCGTTGCCATTCACGTTTAAACAGCCACTGGAGCTGTTTGTGCTCTCAGGGGTGAGGGASGTGGCCAAGGCCATATTTTGGCTTYSAGCASAAAGGTGGGASAGCAGAARGCTGGGCTGGATGGGAGCCCTTCCTAAAAGGGGGGGAGAGAGGGATGGAGCCACCCCACAAAAACCCCACACAGAGCTGGGTCAGGACAGCTCACCAAGGGCTGCTCTCCCCTTGGGAAKCCATAAAAACACTGAAAAGGCACCAAACACACAAATCCACCCCAAAGCCATGGGCACAGCTCTTACCTGGTCCTGTGAGCCCCAGCAGCTCCTGCTGCCCTTCCCAGCCCTCCCAAAGGATTAAGGGATCCCCACCAACCCCAAATGGAACTCATTAACCCTTGCTGGGCCCCCTGGCACCTGCACACCCACCCCAGAACACTGACAGAGACCAAAACTCCTTCTCACCGGGCAGATTTGCTGCGTGGAGGCAACAAAGTGGGAGAAAACAGACAAAAAAATTGTTTTCAAGTGTAGTCACAATGTCAATAAAAGCCTTCACATGGATTTAGTCCCCTGGAATAAAATGTGTGTGGAAGTTGGGTTGTGAATATTGATACAGTATTCTGGGGCAATAAATACGTAACAATAAAGTTATATAGCCCTGATAGCTGAATTTGATGATAGATGCCTGAATGTTTGATAATTACGTGCATTTCCAATATCCTGAAGCAGTGGTTAAAAATTTTTTAAAAAGAATAAAAAGAAATAGAAACAAGATTTCTTCCGCTCCATTTTACAAGCAAAGTTTTCACAAGCAATTCTTTCCCTTCATCAAGGCAGCCACTGCCAGGGCTCAAAAGCTGCAGAGAAAGCTTCCTGTGGTGACAGAGTCCCAACAGTCTGGGCYACTTCAGCTTCATTTACCCAAGTAATAAAATTTCAGCCCACACCAGCTCAGAATCCATTTCTCCAACTGACTCGAAACTGCTGACAGCAAAAAAACGTGAAAACTCTGCAACTTAATCCCCACTTCCCTCCTGTTTTCCAAACAACTCCAATGGAGTAATGACAAACATCCTGAGATGGGTGAACAAAGATGAGTCTGCACAATCTGATGGTGGTTGAAATGTCATTGTGTTCAGGGGGTGGGTGATAAAGGAGATAAGGAGATAGAGAGATAAAGGAGATAAAAGAGATAGAGATAAAGGAGATAAAGGACCTTTGCTGCTGCTGGGTGAAGGTGGATGAAGAGGCAGTGCTGGGTTCTGCATCACCTGCTCACACCAGGATGAGATAAAGGAGGAATTTGGACTTTAGCCCTTTCTGGTCTAAAGTCAAACTTCTGGTGCTTCCTGAGCTCTCCTCTGCCCTGAGCAGGTGACAAATTTAATAGGAAATGGTGAAATAAAAGCTGAGAGTGGTGATAAGAGGTTTGTTCTTCTTGGAGGCCTTTAAGAATTTGTTTTCAGAAAATGACACTTCTTTAAGGAATTCRTACACATCTTCAGCCTCCGTCAAGGCTGCTGCACAATTTCCTGTTTTTGTCTTCTCAGAACTGCTGAGCTGCTGAAGCTGCCAGTAAAGCCCAGGGTGAGTTATCCAGAAGAGGTGGAGTCTGCAGCAAATCCAGATTCTTCACTGATATTCAGAGCGTGTGACTGTAGAGAATTCAGGGCACACAGAATACAGAGAACACAGAATACAGAATTCAGAGAACACAGAATACACAGAACACAGAATACAGAATTCAGAGCACACAGAACACAGAATTCAGAGCACACAGAACACAGAATTCAGAGAACACAGAATACAGAATTCAGAGCACACAGAACACAGAATTCAGAGAACACAGAATACAGAATTCAGAGCACACAGTTATGATCTTCACTCAAATAAAGAGAGAATAACAACTATTCCCTCCCCAGCAGGGTTTGTATGTTCTTATTTATGCCTCAGTCTCATCCCATCAGCCATCAGACCACAGGGATGTAAATAATAAATAACAAACTTTGTTTGAAAATTGAAACAGCAACTGATTCTTTTTTTTTCAAAGGGTATGTATTAGTTTATTTAAAGATAAGGATGTCAAAATATACACTATTGTATCATTAAGATCAGCACGGATTAAAATGTCAGGCCCACRGTTCCCTGTACAGGCAAGGATTGAATAAACAGAAATCTTAATTTTCTGTAAAAATCATTAACTACAGTTATTACAGGAGGTTTGTGATGCAGGGAGCTGCCTGGACAGCTTTGATTTTGGTTTTTTATTAGGATTAATTACAAGTATGGATATAAACAAATATCAGGATGAACAACTACGTTTCCTATGATCTAAGAAACATTAATTCCGGGCCGGTTAGGGCACGTGGGTGCCCTCTTGTGTTCCTATTAGAACCTTAAATAGCTTTTAATTTGTTATCCCACCTCGCCCGGCCCAGAGGGAGCTGTCTCAATCACGGCAAGCCTTTGCATTTTAGCGTTTTAATTTACATTAATAACCGAGATGAAGCGGGGCTTTATCACCACTGATTCTGTCCGACTGAAGGGTTCTGCTCCAATTTCAGGCTGTTTTTCCATGGAACGTTTATCAAAGGGGATTGGGGTTTTTCCTGGCTGCTCTCAAGCTCTCTGAAGTGGAGGACTCGCTGCCCGTGCCTCGCTGCCCGCTCTGCATTCCCTCCTCACGTGCTTTGTTTCTCTGCCATTTATTGAATTCTCTGCCACTCTCGCCCCTGACTTCCTCTCCCCTCTGCAAACCTCAAACCATCCCCATCTCCTTTTCCATAAATATGGCTTGGGCACCTTCAGAGCTGCTTTCTAACACGCAAGGAACAACCCTCAAACCATCCCCATCCCCTTTCCCCTAAAGTTGGCCTGGAGATCTTCAGAGCTGCTTTTTAACACACAAGGAACAACCCCCAAACCATCCCCATCCCCTTTTCCCTAAACATGGTTTGGAGACCTTCAGAGTCACTTTTTAACAAGCAAGGAACAACCCCCAAACCATCCCCATCCCCTTTCCCCTAAACTTGGCTTGGGCACCTTCAGAGCCGCTTTCTAACACGCAAGGAACACCCCCCAATGATCCACCACTGGAACCCCAGGGTGTGCTTCAGCCTCGTGGTGGTGACAGCCAGGAGAAGGAAAAGGAGCCATTCCCAGTGCCAGGAGTTCCCAGAGAGCTGCTGAGCCCCTTCAGCAGCCCGGGCTGGGCACTACTTGGATTTCCCAGCGGGGACGATGGACACGGGGTCTGTCTGCACTTCTGCGTCCGACGTCCTTTTGGAACCCTGCGGAGCAACAGAGACACCTCAATAAATATTTCCAAATATTTCAGAACTCTCAAGTGTGCAATTGTGCCTTAGAGCTTTSTACCAGGTATTTCCACTCATTCCACCTCCCTCCTTCTGTTAATTAACCCTTTATTTAACATACATAAGCACCATCTGTATCGTGGGAACCATGCAGAGCTCCTGTTTGTGACTCTGCCTAAACGTGGGGGTTATTTTAATATCATTTTCTCAACTGGCACGGCAACAATGGTTTTCAGGCCCTGGGCTGCTGTGTGCCTGCAGTGTTGTACTTTTGGCATCACTTTCTCTAGAATTTCCCTGCCCTAAACGCTTCACTGCAGCCCTGCTAGGAGTCCTCCAAGCATGATTAATGGTGTATTATAGCCAGCCCTGCTCTGCTCTAGGTTAAAAGAACATTAAATACTTTTATGCATGACAGGTATTCCACAATGTTCGAGTGATAAAGCTTTTTTTACACTGCAAATACAATTCAGGGTTTGGAAGTGATCCAGGACACTAATCCAGCTTAGATGAAGGAAATGTACAGCTCTGGTTATACCAGCTACGTTTTCCACTAACTGATAAAAACTTGGCTCTGGTTTAAGGTGCTTGACCTAATTTTGCCGGCCTTGAAGCTGCCAAAACTTCATCAAAAAGGTTTGGGGTCACTGTTTGAGGTCAGTTACCAGTGCTGGTTGTAGGCTGATCCCAAATCATTACAAACACAGCAGAGCTGAAGGTGATTCCTGTGCTTTCCCTGGGATAAGAACTGGGCAGAATCATGTGGGAATTGTCCCTTCCTGAACCTGAGTCACCACTTCAGGGCGATTCTGAGTTCAGACATGGAGAGTGAAAGGTCTCCACTTCCTCATCACCTTAAGGGAAGCAAAAATTGTGGGCTTTTTATCCTGATTAGGCTMCATCTCACTGATCTTTTAATTTTTCACCTTGGAGTATCTAAGTATGAAAAAGAGTAGCCAAAAATCACAGTGGACTGAAAAATCCCATTTTAAACTGGTTGTAACCTTGTGCAGGTCAACTGCCTGCAGTGGCTTTGCTTCTGCTTCCACTGATGCTGAGTTTGGAAGATGCTCCAGAGCAGAATAAAAGGGTTTGGCCATTTACAGGGAGCAGCAAATCCATCATTGATCCATCAAACGATACTACATGAGCTACTCATTCCAAATTTATCCAGAAACCCTAAAACCCTCCCCATCAGGTAAAGATTCACATGTCATAGGAGTAACGGGGTCTGCCAGCTGTCTGAGCATGATGAAATCATCTCTAGCCTGATCTAGGAAACAAAAAATGACACAATTTGCCTTTCTTTGTACAAATGGGTGGAGGGAGGAGACGGGAGGGGAGGCTCCTCTGAGACAATCCCATTTTGACTCATTTAGCACTGTTTGGCAGAGGTGTCATTATTTGCTCACTGCTGCACCCATTTCCAAGGTGGCTGCCGATTAAAGCAGGAAGCTCTGAGCTSATGATTCTCGTTAGACTGGAATTTCCAAGCCCGGTGTGAAARCAAGAACTTTGTTCTGCTTTTTTAACGGACAAATTCCAGCTCAGCCCGGGGATTCAGGAGCTCAGGTGCCACCAGCTCCTGGTTGTGACACTCTGCTTTGGGCAGGGCATTCTGARATCCACACACAGCAATGCCATGGCATTGGAATTATTTTTTTTTTCCCCCAGATTTTGTCAGGAGAAGCCTGGGTCAGTGCAGCACACACTCTGATCAGAATAAATCCGAATACTTTCCATATGTTGAGCACTCCCAGCTCCTGACAACTGGACTATGAGTTATTCCAGCTCAGGAAACAATGTTATTAATCTTTTTCCCCCCTTTCTTTTCCCTTCTAATCTAATCTTTCAAATTCTTCCCTAAATACATTTGATAAAGCTTATCAATTAATCTCTTTTACCATAGGAACAACCACTGGATTTTATTTATGCTCAAACCA